TCCTCTTGCCCTCTCATCTTAGGGCACCTTAACTTCATCAGGACTTTTCTCCTGCACTAGACAGGAGCACAGGATTATCAGCACAGGTGCCCTGCCCAAGTGACAAACTCAGTCAGCGTTTATTGATTATAAGTACAATGCAAATCTGAAACTGATTGCCTCCAGGCTTTATTAAAGGGACCTCGCACATTCAATGAGGATGAATTTGTAGATTTTACTTAAGAAAATTGATTTTGACTTCAAAATAATCTTATTGCCTGCACTTAGAAAATCTATTTAGGAAGACCAAATACATAAACGAATGGGTCAAACTGTTCATCTTGAAAAATCACTTCCATACAAGCAGTGTGAAACTATTTCAATCCTTTGTACAGCTAGAAAATTCATCTCAAGAAAGGCAAGAACTGAGTCTTCAGCTCCAGGAAGGAGTTTTGGAACATAACAAATACCTCTCCCCTAAGCCCCTAATTCAGACCATGTTTTGAAAGCCAGACAATGAGGGTCTATCTGGTTTAGTGGAGAGTTTCACACTCTGGACACTGGAGACACATCTTGTTTCCTAGCATTACCATTTAGATCTGGGACTGGAAAATGAGTCCCCAGGCTGAGGTGTGATTAAAAAACAAACAAACAAACACAAAACCCTTGGAAAGCAATACAAAGAATTTCAAAGAATGGGAGCCAAAAACACTAGGCTGCATGTAAATATCTTGAAATATGTTCTTTTACAATGTCAATTTTTAAAATGAATAAATTTGGAAAAAAATGCCCTTTTAAGTAGAACTACTCCAATGTCTACTTTCTAATTCAGAAATCCATGTACAGTCCTTCAATGATAATCTGTTTGAAAAAGTCTCAAAATATTTAAAGAGTTTCTTGACATACTTCAAAGAAGATAGCTGCCACCGACTCCTCTCCAGCTCCTCCTCTCTCTTCCCCTCTTCCTTTGGGTGTTTGTTGATTTTTAGAAGGTTTATCTTGCCTCCCAGGACCCAGTCACAATGCCACATTCTGCATGTATATGCCAAAGTAATTCTGCAGTCTTCCGGCAATTTTCTAGTACCTTGATTCACTTTGCACTTTTTAAAAAACCCTTCTTCCCATCTTACATTTTAGGAGAAAATATCTCTATGCAATGTAATAAATTAAGTGATTGTATTTAAAATTTTGAGCAAAATATGCCAGGCAGTGAGGACAGGAGAGAAAAGTCAGAAGCTGTATTCTGAGGGATCGACACTGCCACCAGGTATTAACCACTCACATACACACATGCCCACCTGGCAAACTGTCTACAGCAGAGCAGGATGCTGGGAAGTGGGGACTCCCCACAAAGTGTTTGCTTAAGTCTTTTTGTTTGTTTGTTTTGCAGTTTTTGGCTGGGGCTGGGTTTGAACCCACAACCTCCAGCATATGGGGCTGGCGCCTACCCTATTCCTTGAGCCACAGGTGCTGCCCTTCACTTAAATGTTTACCTCTTTGTCACATAATTCTGTAATTTGAGGGGGCTGGAATAGTAATTTATTACTTCATACAGGGAGAAGGCTGGAGCTAGTTTATTCAGCAGCTGGACATCATCAGGGACCCAGGTGCTGCTCAGTTTTTACCCAGTCATCCAGTTGACTTTGGTCCTCAGGCTTTCTCTTCAGGGTTACAAAGTGGCTGCAGCAGCTCCAACATCAACATGTAACACCTGGCTGCCATTGAACATGGCAGTGTGAGGGTAAGGTGATCTCATTTTACCAAGGATAACCAGCCCTGCCTCAGAAGCCCCCAGCTAACTTCCCATGACAGCTTATTGGCCAGAATTGTGTTGCATGTCAATTCCTGAATCATGCACCTGGCCTGAAGAAATTATTATGATCAATTTAGACCAATTTAGGCTCTTGGGTAACTTGCATAAAATCAGGGTTCTCATTAGGAAAAGAAGGTAGAGGTGCAGAGGCTGATTGGTAATCAACCTACAGTATACTTCATAAACTCTACTCCTAGTCCTTTGAGGGGATCAGGAACACAGCTTCTAACATTGATGTATTCATTTCTGGCCATGGGAACTTCCTGAGAGTTTTGAGCAGGGAAATTAATATGAACAACTAAATATGATTAATATAAGGGATTTTGCAGCCATTTCTTCCAAAATTATAATTTTTCTCAATGTTTACAGACAGTTAACATTGTCCTTCATTTACTGAAAATATTTACTGAACCTCTGTTGTTCCAGGTGTGGGAACATGACACTGAACACGATGGCGGGGTCCTTGTCCTCAGAGAAGCTTCCATTCTCGTAGGGAAGTCTAAACTGCAGAATTTCAGGCGTGGCTCTGCTACGGGGAAAGCAGCAGGGTAAGAAGATAACTCAGTGATGGAGTGGAGCTGGGGCTTTGGTCAATCAGTGGAAGGAAGTCTCCAGAAGATGGCACTTGAGCCAAAACCAGAACAGGAGGGAGCCTGCCGGGGAGCCATCTGAGCAGAGGCTTCCAAAGTCTTGGCAAGTTTAGAGACCCAGAAAATCCTGGCCAACAGTAAGAAGGAGAGTGGTAGAAGGCCAATGCTGCCTGGGGTCAGGGCAGGATTTCATAAACACCCATAATAAAGTTCAGATAGGTAAAGGTAGGGAGGAAGACCAGATAGGACTTAACGGTCCTGGCAAACCTTTCTATAGTAGTCCAAGTGTAACAGACGATTTTTAACGGGGAAGATGATTTTCCACTTTCACTTTTTAGATGCTCACATTGGCTTTTGTGTGACAAAAGAAACTTAAAGGGGTGGGTCTAGAAGTAGGCAGCTGGAATTGGGCAGCTGTGGCACAGAAGACAGATTTTATGGTTGCTTTCTGGCAGTAGAGACTGTATGGTGTAAGACTTAACTGTTGAGGTATTTAGAAAAGTTTGACAGAAGGATCCTACTTCTTGAAAAATAGGCCAGGCCAGTGGTTTAGTGAGGACACAATTTCTTTGGGGATCTTGTTAAAATGGCAGATTCTGATTTAGTGGGTCCAGATAATGTGAATCTGCACTTTTTGGAGGGATGATTGCCCCTCCAAATTCAATAGATTTTAATTTAATTCTTTTAATTTCAATAGATTTTTTATTACATGGATAAACTGTATAATGCTGAATTCAGGGCTTTTGTCCTCACCCCCACCTCACTTTTTCTGCATTCCAGGTAATGCCAAAGCTTTGGATCTGAGGACCACTTTTGAGCAGCAGGATTCTAGCAAAATATAACCTAAACTTAACTTTTTAGTTGTACTTTTTACTAATATGCTGTGTGCTGTAGAAGAGTGCTCTGAGGCAGTGGCCATATCTTACTGTCTAAACTTAAGACATTCAGTTTCTTAGTTTCACTAACCAGAATTCCACTGTTCAAGAGCCACATGAGATTAGTGGCTACCACATTGAACAGTGTCTATGTAAGGAAAAGAAAAGTTGAATGGGACAGTGCTGACTGTCCTGCAGGCTTTGCTGTTAGCCCATGCCTTTCCCATTCTGGTCCTTAGGGAGGACACATGTCGTCTCTACATGCTAACATCGAATTCATCTCCTAAGAATTATCTCTAGTCTGCCTCTTCCATGGCACCTTTCCTGGAACTCAAAGTGGGTGTGCTCTCCGCCACCTTACATCTGCAGCACACATTTTCTCTGCGATGTATTTCTACTCCAACTCCCAGGTCTCTGGTTGTACAAGTGCATTTCCTTATAACTGGGAAAGCGGTATTACTTCTCACCCACTTCTCCATGTGATTCAGTTGAACCTACTTCTACACTCCTACCCACAATCAGTAGGACACCAGCCTGGTGACGGCCAGTGACATCCATTTCAGGACCATTAGTGAAAAAGTTAAGATACAGGTGCTCTTTCACTGGCATCTGTAAGCTGCCTGCCTGAGTCTGATTGTGCTGGCATCACCTTGCTGTCCAGTGGGGGCCTTGCCTGAGGAGGAGGACAACCCGGAGGAACACGGAGCCTGGGCAGCATCTCCCACCGCCTCATCCCTCACACCTGTGGCTGTATTTGGAGTCCTCTCCATATACATTTGAGTGTTAGTTAATGGGGATGATTTCCTATTTTGGCTGAAGCCAGATTGTACTGAAGGAGTCTTGTTCTTTACAGCCTCTCCTAACTCATTTATGCTCTGCTTTGATATATGGTAGCCAATATGTTCTTTGCTAATTCTCTCCCCACTTCCCTTTGATCCAACCCTCCTACCGTTTGAAATCTTCATCACCTTCAGGTGGTTTGAGACTGCAGGACTGTAGGCGGCCTTGTGAACACATGAGCAACTGAAGTCAGTTTTCCTTTGCCAAGTTTAACACTCAAATGATTTAACATGTTGATATTCAAACTTTATGGCAGCGAAGACTTTTCTTTTTCTGCCAATGAAATCTATTTTTTAAATTTCTCTAGATGTTGACCCATCAGTGTATACATACTATAAACTGATTAAATCTCTTGACTGTGTAGGTCTCCACAAGCAAGTCCACATTTCCCAGTTATGTCCGTCTCCCTACCCCACGTTCACCCGCACAGGCCTCCCAGCTTTGAAGGATTCCTTAAACGCCACTGGAGGTGAGTGCTGGTGCGGGCCTGTGAGCTGGGGGAGCCGCCAGCTCTCCCTCCCAACCCACCTTGCCTTCTGGATCAGCTCACATGGAGCTTCTGAGCTTCATGTCTTGGCTTGCTCCCCTTTACAATTGCGTCCTGCTCCCACATGGGATCTGCCTATCTGCTAATTGGCTCAGGAGGTCCCATGGGGACAGTGCTGGGACGTTTCCTAGACCCTGCCCAGAAAGGTGCCTCCAATCCCAGATGTGAAACTCACCACCACTCATGTGCCACCTGCTCCATAAAACTCCCTTTTCTAACTAGAACTGGGCTGAAGAAGCGATTCATTCATGAAGCAACAAACCACAGGCCCTCATTACTCTACCCCACCCCTGTTGTTTTAATAAGTGTTTTCAAGTATCTGTTCACAAAATTGAATTGAGAACCACTCTGGAACATCATGCACATGATAACATTATCTTTTATTAGCGATCTTATATTACATAATCCCAAAAAGATATAAAATCTTCCAAGAGAAAATATCAAAACCTGTTGATTCCCAGGTGAGCAAAATGATCAAAATGAAAACATGTTTTATTTCAGATAAAGGAATGTGAAAACATTTCGGCACAAATACAACAAAGAAATGGGGAAACCATTACAACGTTTTGTAACACATGTTACAGCATTTTATTTTAATCAGTATTTGTAGAAAACAAGAATGTGAAGTTCTCCAACACTTCAGTTATAACCCCAAATGACGACGAGGGAGAAGGGGGGAGAGAGAGACACGCGTCCCTGCACTGCTGGGTCACCTGGCCTCTGGGATGATAAACATCACAAAGCCTAACCAAATGAAGATGCTGCCAAGATCTCAGCTGAAGTGTACAGCTTTAGTGGATGCCAGAGACACTAAATTATTTTTCAGTTCTTGACCACAACCTAAAGCATCTTCTCTTCATTTCCCTGATGGTTATTATAAAAATAACTTTAAAGAGCAGAAACTTGCTGGTTAAAGAGAAATTCCACTTTACCTGTGAAGGTCTGGTGGCAACATACACTGACTCAAACCCCGACTGACACGGGACAGATATACCTCAAACAACCAGAAGTGGAAAAACCACTGTTATTGCATCAAGATTTTTTTATTTCATCTGATCAGAATGTCCAGAATGAGTAAGCACACCCACTTAACCACAGAACACAGTGAACTCCCCGAGGAAGGCTTTACACTTAAGATGCAATGAAAATACTGACCTTACTCCTGGGATTTGCTTCTGGCAACACTAACATCTGGAGATGTCCACAAAAAGGAAGTATTTTCTCCTTTTCTAGTTATTTCCAAAAAATGAGGAAGGACGCTTACAGTACATGTTTATTGCATGAATTCACCCCCTTGTAATATCTCTCCCAACAATGGTATTATTTCCTTATTAGTAAAGGCAAAGGAGTTGATGGATTTACACATAGTAATTTTAGGAGCTGCATCTTGAGTGAAAATCCAGACGATAATCTATGAAGTAGAAATTGGATTTTAATTTCTCTATAAAGATGTTGAATGACAAGCGGTAAAATGGAAATTTAAAGTCATATAATACTAAACCCATTAACACAAAGAGAGTTTTCTAAACTGTACCTGCTCAGACTCCTTTCCCTACTGAAACTGGACAGTCTAAATGCTGCTGTTATTATAATGTTGAGGAAACAGTGATTCCCAATAAGCTTTATAGAAAGCGTTACGAATAGCACATGAGCTTAGAACTTCACTCTGAGGTCAGCACACACAAAAGCTTGGAATTAACAAACATTCTTTAATATGATGAATCATGATGAGCTACATAGAAGTGGGTTTCAAAATAGGTTCACCTTTTAAAGCCTTTTCTCTCTAACACAGGTAAGTACTGTGAAATGGAGACAGTATCTGGATTTTGCTTGTTACACAGTCTTTGCTTCAAGTTGCAGTTTCCTTGGCAGCAGCATATTTTGATTAACAATATTTTTCTTCCTTGTTTTGTTTTCTGACATCTCAGTACATTCAAATAGTCAAAATGTTTAGAGTAACATTACCACAAATTTAATGAAACAGATCAGAATGTGGCCAGCATTGTCAGGCAAAAATTATACCATTTACGTATCATAGAAAATACCCACCCTGGCCCCGTTCCCAAACGCCCCCCTTCCCCCAGACAGTAAGATGGACACCAAAAGATTTAACAAGACTTATAAAAAAATAAGGCACATTTATTTTGATATGGTAATTTTTAAATAGAAAACCCCATCTCAGAACACCTGTATTCAAATGAGCTGTGTAAAAAGATACCTTGTGATGCCTAAAATAGGTTTATGGTACCTATGGAATTACTTCTATTTTAGTGACAATGGAATAAATTGCACCTATCCCACATTGTCAAGTAATGAAAATATGCATCTTTATCTACTGTTGAATGATTCAAAATCAGGTATTTCTGGAAATACTTACGAAGGCTGAGAAGTGGAGGAAGAGATGAAGAGGTTCACAGAAAAAGATGTGAAAACCAACTACGTTTACTATGCATAAGGGTTGATGGATTGCACGTTTCCACTTATTTCAACACAGTATTTGTCTAACTTGTAGGAATGAGGGCAACTATTTTGGCCATTAGCTATTATTACCCACCAGTATTTAATTTCATTTCGGTCAAATGGGTATTTCTGTCAAACTGACAAAGGATTAGCCACACAAATATCTTACAACCTCCAACACAGATAATTAGTTAGCATTTAACCTGAGATACAATCTGTTGAGAGGCTGTCTTTAAATATTTCTTCATTTGTTGCACCAATCCTTGATGATTGTGGTTCATGGGAGGAACATTAAAAAAAAAAAAAAAGAAAGAATAAAAGAAAAGAAAAGAAAACCTGGTTGGTAGCATGGCTTGGTTCTTCTTCCTCTTTACTGTACTGGTTTAAAAAAAAGAAAAAAATCACAGAATTTATGTTCTCACAGTAGCCAGAAGCTAAAATAATGTGCTTCTTTATTGCACGTCAAACCAAGAAACGTATAAAAGCCAATGATCCCAATCCCAGTGTGACAGTCAGTTTCACCTCAATCGGACGCGGAATGTACTGATTTCCATTGGACTCAAGTTGATCTCACTTATATTCTGGGCGTCTGGAGATGAATGCATCAAGGATAATGATGAAAGTGTGAGACTTTCAATGGTAAACTTGTTAAAAAGTTTCTGTACCAACATCTAAAAATATAATGATAAAAAAAAATGCCTATTTAGATCGACTTTGAAGAAAGATTAGTAACACATCTGAAAGAATACAACAGTATGCTGAAGTTTCCTATTATGGAAAAATAAGGAAGGAATCAAATACGCCAAGTACATGCTTGAACACACAGACGATCCTCGGGGGGAAACAGGAAGCTCTGACAGTCCTGGGCAACCTGTGCTGCTCCTTTCTGTGTTGTTTGGGGATTTTATCATGCACAGGGGCCACTTTCTCAGTAAAAGATATGACATCTACAGGTCAGCTCTGAAAACATCCTCACGCTCTCTCCGTCATAGCAATCCATGACAATGATGGTTTGCAACCGTCTCTTTGTGTTCTGACAGAGCTGAGTACAGGACATGGGCTCATTACAAGGAAGGCTCATCATGTCGCCTCTACAGGGTGGAAACGTCACTTGGAAAATAACTCCTTCATCCCTGCCATGTTGTCTAATATGTCCTTATAATCACACCACCTTAAGACTAATGCCTCAGAAGAGATCAAAAACAGGCAGCCAGCAAGAAGTGTTCAGACTGAGAGTCTGTTTGGCCTGCCCATTGTTGACTCATAAGCAAATCTGGATTACTCAGAAGACTGGACTTACATTTATTTCCCAAAGGAAAACAACTGCTTGGAGCTAGGTTCAGCCACATTTGGGCTACATTCGATTATCCCACTGACCCATCTCTTCGTGTCCTTGGTGCCACCCCCATAAGCTTCAGTCACTGAAAACTCGCCTTGCCCCTGCTGGATCTGGGTTTACCATTGCTGAGCTAAGATGCTACGTGAACATGTGCAGTCTGGGGAGAAGGAATGGGGGAGTGAATGCAGAGAAGAGGCCCTGTAGCTCGGCAATGACAAGCATGGCCTTTCAGTGGGCACAGGCTCTGGCTACACGTTTTGATGCTGACCAGGAAAGGACACCGAGGTTGAGAAAATGCTTTCTTAAAATGGGAGGTTCATGCTGACTTGCAGACTGGCAGGAATGAATCAGTAAAGAGGCAATAAAATAGGATCTTACTGACAGGCTGTAGGAGACTGAGCACCAGACTTATAGGAGTGGCCACTGGTTCTTGAGGGAGGCTCTGGGAGCGGGACAATCTCCTGCTGGCATGCAGATGTTCTGCAACCCAGAGACAAGCCCTCAAGCAACTGCTTTAATGAGCTAAGATAGGGCCCTCCTTAGCAAGCAGGTGTTGGACCTTGAACAACTGTGGGAGTCGAGCCCAGGGGAAAGAGCACGTAGTGACTATTAAGCACGTGATCCTAGTACGTGGGCCCCCCACACCTGTTGTTTAATGCTTCAATAAAAGGCCATGGCAGAGGTTACTCGGGGCTTCCCTGCACCTATGGGAAGTCCACCTCTTGCAAGCATCGTACTTCTAATCTGTGTCCCAGCTATTTCTTTTGTGCTGTGACGGGGTTCCATAGCAGGCGCTGACAAAGGTTTCATAGAGGCACCGACACCAGGGTTTATGAAAAGCGAGGGTTTCAAAGTACACTAACTAAATATGCAAAATAACCTTTACTCTTACCTTTCCCTGAGTAGTAGGACAAAGTAGTCCCGTATCTTTGCTAGAGAATCTGCAGTCAAACCCTTTCCTATGGAGGATCAAAGCTGCCTCATTGGAATATCCACCGCCCACCTGTAAATGAGCAGAATGCCGATGTTAAAACAAATATGTACAGTATTTCACACACCACTGTCCTGATGGCAACATCCAAAAGCACATTTATTCAGCAATGAAGCCAGGCAAATTCATTTCCCGTCTGGTCCATGCTCTCTGCTGTACACCCCACCCACCTGCACTGAGCCAGGGGAGGTGATACCACAAGGTTACTTGTTAGGCAACTTCCTGCCTCAGTTTCCCGCAGTCTCTGAGGAATTAGGTTTCCTCTGTCTGTTATGTACTGTGTCATCCAAGTTTCTTCCAAAAAGGATTTTATTTTTTTTTTAATATACACATCAGTTAGATAAAGTACACCTGAATTTTAGTCCTGATCTGGTCACTGAATGATATTCCATCTACCTCAAAACTAAAACATGCTTCCTTGTTGAATACTAACTTTTTGCTAATTGCATAAACATTCTCAATCTTTAATATACTGTGTGAGCATTTTTTATCAAAAGAATTTAAACCAAATAAGTTATACTTTTCACTGAAGCCACGTGTATTAGCTCAATGTATCACTGGAATGCACATTACTGGCTGGCGCCTATAGCTCACCCAGTGAATAGGGTACCAACCACCTACACTAAGGCTGGTGGGTTCGAGCCCAGCAGAGGCCTGCTGAAACAATGACAACTGCAACCTAAATAAATAAATAAATAAATAGCCAGGTGTTGTGACAGGCGCCTGTCGTCCTAGCTTCTTGGGAGACTGAAGCAAGAGAATTGCTTAAGCCCAAGAGTTGAAGGTTGCTGTGAGCTGTGACGCCATGGCACTCTACCAAGGGAGACATAGAGACTCTGTCTCAAAAAACAAAAATAAATAAAAACTAAAGGCACACTACAGGCACCATTGTTTATGGGCAGGCAAAAAGAAAAATACTAAACATAATTAAGTCAGCTGGGGGAATAAGTATATGTTTTCTTGTGATAAAATTTCTCACATCCATTTAAATAACAATGTCAAAAATGTTGAACCGTTCAAGTGTTTGAGTATTTTTTTTTTTTTTTGAGACGGAGCCTCAAGCTATCCCCCTGGGTAGAGTGCCATGGCATCACACTCACAGCAACCTCCAACTCATGGGCTCAAGCGAGTCTCCTGCCTCAGCCTCCCAAGTAGCTGGGACCACAGGCGCCCGCCACAACACCCGGCTATTTTTTGGTTGCAGCCGTCATTGTTGTTTGGCGGGTCCGGGCTGGGGATTCGAACCCGCCACCTCAGGTGTATGTGGCTGGCGCCTTAGCCGCTTGAGCCACAGGCGCCGAGCCGTGTTTGAGTATTTTAAATTACAATTACCTTAATACATTTTATGTTTCCTAAAGTGGGAAGGCATTTATAATAATAAGCAAGATGAATTAAAGATCCTTAGAAAAATTATGAAATTTATATAACGTGCTGCTCAGCACTGACGTGGTGATAAAAATGGCCCCGTCCTCCCTTCCCAGGCCACAGAGATGAACCTGCCATGCTCCTGATCATTCTCGCTAGGGGATGAGAACTGTTAACGTGCTATGAAGACACCTCTTCTGAATAGCTGCCAGCATTTCCACCACTAATTTGATTTTAATGTGCCTGAACAGTTTAAAGCTGTCCTCACTTCAGAGTCTTGGCTGGAGTAACCTATGTTATGATGTTTCACACTGGTATTCTGCAGTGGTACTGCTAAGATTTTGTTTGAAGGCAAAGAAAAAAGTCATTTAAGGAAGTTATAGGACCGTAAGATACACATAGGAGGTTTAAGTCATATAAAAATGTAAAATGAAATTTTAATACATTTCACACACCCCCATATAGCATGAAGCATAGCACATAAAAAAATCCTTCACGTATTATATATACGTAAGAGCTCTGAAAGCCCAGCAAAGAGAATTCTTATCATATGCTAATTGTGAAACCTTGGGATAGTCATTTATTCTTCCTAAGTTTCCATGTCTGTAACATGGAGCTTGTCTGCTTCCTCCATGGAATCATCGTGTGGACAAGTCTGTTGAAAATACTATATGAGCTCGCCTCCCACGGCCGCGCGGGGCGGGGTGAGCTCGCCTCCCACGGCCGCGCGGGGCGGGGTGAGCTCGCCTCCCACGGCCACGCGGGGCAGGGTGAGCTCGCCTCCCACAGCTGTGCAGGGCATACAGAGGCGGGTGCTCAGAGCCTGGGCGAGGACTCAGCTCAAGCTCTGGATTCCTGCTCTGCAACTTTCTAGCTCCAAATTTCAGCAAAATCAAATTTTCCTTTACTATAAAATGCTGATGCAATGAAGTAGCAGGACAAGGATGTGGCACACTGTCTGGCACACAGGAAGCCCTCAGTATGTCAGCTTTATTATTTCTACCAATGTAATCCGTCAAATAAATATTGGAGATTATTTTCATAACAGTACATGTTAAACAATCTTCTCATTTAATTTCTTATTTATAAGTATCCTTAACTGACATTAAAACTTTGTAGTTAAACAATTAGGGAATCCCCAAATTATATGTCTATAGTTGTATGTCAAAATCATAACACAATCCCTAACAAGACTCACAGATTAGATGGCTTCTTAATTAGATATTTTTTAAAAGCGTATGTCAATATTAACCTATAATTTTTGGCCATTTGAACTCATTGGTCCATCCTTAAAAAGCACTTGATAGCCGGCATTGCTAACGTTCTCCCAACACATTTGCTCTTGGAATAATGAATTCGTGAAGCTTTTAGCAACTGAAGACGACCAAAATTCTGGGAAGGAAAACAGCTTGAGAATTCTACCTTTGAATTCTACGAGACATTTATACCAACAATACAAAAGTAGAGAGGAGAAAAAAAAATCACAAAGTACCTTTCACTGATAAAAAAAGTTATACTTTCTCCCTGAACTCAAACTACATTACTTTTGTAAGGACCAAATGAAATAGCAATCGTCTTGTCCAAGTTTTAAAAAATCCAATATTCATGAAAGTATCAGTTTTCCAGCAAGAATACCTGAGGCAAAGAAGTTTTTCAGTTTCAAAGTCTGTCTAGACATTTTATTTCCAAGAAAACTGTTTTTCTGAGTAGACAAACTGTGGATTCAGCTTGAATATGCATGCAGGCAAACAGACACCTTCCGGCTGTCACACTGCAGGCTCCAGGAGAGTGATGGCTTTCGTTAATGCTGTGGTAATATCTGGACCCCATGGGAAAAGGAGGAGGGCGTAGGGGAGAAGATTTATAATGTGTGAAACTGGCCCCAGCTCTGTGTGAGGTAACTGTCTCTGCCAAATGAGTGAGATCCCATTTGAGTCTGGATCACTGAAGTAAGACAGGGGTGTTCAAAAGCCACACGGGGAAGACCCACTGCAAAACTGAGGCCAGGAGTTAAAACCAGCATCCAGCTCGCGGACGCAGCTGGGCCTGTGAGGCTTTTCCAGCATCTCAGTGGAGCTGGGGAGGATGATTTTGGTTTGCAGGACAAACCATGAAAATGAAGCTGGCATAGAGAAAGCGGGGGCGGAGGGAAGTTTGGTTGCACAGCAAACCATTTATGTGACTTCGAGTAAATAACTTTCGTTATCTCTGTAACTTCAGTAAACTAGGTTATACTTGAGAAGACTCCTCAGTGAACCGCAGCCCAACCACAGTGACAGCCGTAGTTGCTAAGCACGTACTGAGTGCTTGCTGTGTGCCCCATCCTGTGCAGGATGCTTTTCACTCATTAACTGGTTTTCTCTCACAACAACCTTGGAGAGAGTTGCGAGGTTACAAGTTTCCATTAATATATGTAAATGTACAGGTGAATCCCTACCACAGTCCCTCTCTTATGCGCAAAGATCAATTATTGGTAGTGACTCTGCAATGATCTTTCCCCTCCTGTGGTTAGTGTAGCTTTCCATGGATGTTGCATTATTACTCAGTAAATAGGAAAAAAATAGCGTACCCCCCAACCCTGTCGGCACCACCCCATCTTTCCTGTGCCCACGCAAGGGGCAATACAAGGCTCTAAGAAGCACTGCGGAGTCAGATGTGCTTACTGCGCCTCCACGCCCAAGCTGCGCTCCTAGGAAGTTACCAGCTGTCAGGGTCAGTTAATCTCCTCCTCCGTGGGATGGAGTAAAGACACAGTCCACCTTCTAAGCGTGAGAGCTTTAAACAAGGTTCACATAAAGCACTTGGCATAGTGCCTGGCATATGGACAGTTTCAGGTATACTATTTGTTAAAAATTTAATGAGTTATTAATAAGGTATATCGGGACTTTAAGTCAAAGTGACATCAAGATTCACTCTGGCAATAATTTTAACCTTTCTCGTTTGTAAAAACAGGCGGCATTTTTACTTCATTATTAGTAACAATCACAACTGCTCATGACCTAACCGTCACAGTTGGGAACCTTTACTGGTCACGTACCCACAGGGCTCACTGTGTGCCAGACACCGTCCTATGGACATCACACACACTCTCTACAGTCCTCACAACATCTCTTAAGGTGGGTGCCATAATCATCCATGGTACTAACGAGGAAATTAGGACTTGGAACTAAGTGATCTGCTTACAGTGGAAAAGAGGCAATCTGACTCCCAAGTCTGAGCTTTTAATAACTCCCTTCTCCTGCCTTTGTCTAGCTATGAATTGGTGTTTGCAGATAACTAGCTAGGAGAGGGGTGATAGGATTATTTTTGGTGTAACATAAGAAAATGCAGGACCAGGCATGTCCAACCCCTGGCCAGTGGGCTGCATGAGAATTTTGTGAGCATTTTTTTTGCTCATCTGTGATGTTGGATATCACTAAAATTATGCCTGGCCCTATGTGTTTGGTCATCAGCTTTTGTCACTATTTGTGTATCAAATGTGTGGCCCAAGACAACGATTTCTTCCAATGTGCACCGGAGAAGCCAAAAGGTTGGACACCTCTTTTAAATGCCTGGTGGGAAAATGCCAGTCCAATCAGATTCTCTGAAATGCCTGGCATTTATCTTAAGTGCATTCTGGCAGCTGGAATGGTTAGAAAATTGCACACTTCATTATAAGTCCTGAGACAGGAAATAACTGGTAGAAATTCATTTCCCAACACATTCATTAAAATGTCCAATAATACCTGTCTTGTTTTGATCAACAACATGACAGAAAGAAAGGCAAGGTGAAGGTTCTTCTTGGACACCCACAACAAAGGACATTTTTTTCCCCTACAATTTTCACCTTTCCAGAAGCTTGGGAGATCAATGAAGTACAAATCAATTCTTATAAGAAAGGCAAAATAAAGTAAAAACCTCAAACTGCCTTTTGTAAGAAGGGGTGGCATAAACAAGTGAGGAGAGAAAATCTTATTCCTTAAATGGTGCTGATGTTGAAATGATTGGCTGTTTACAAGAAACAGTTACACATAAATCAAAATAAACCTCCTAGAGAATAAAGAGTTAAATGTGTTGCACGTATGTAAATTAAATCAAAATGTCTGAACATACAAGCAGTGGAAGTATCTGGAAAAAAAAGAGAAAGCTGAATTATCAATACATCTCACTTTTCCAAGTATCAAGGCAGAGCGGCTCCACACAGCCCAGCTGCAGGGCTTAACCAAGGTTCCTCTTTATACCTTCAGCCCAGGCTGACCCTGCAGCCCCGGCTTCAGCACCCCAACTCACAGTGGCAGCTCCTGAGAGATTCTCCCAGAATCCTCTATCCCCAGATTCTCCTTTCCCTAAATAGTTACCCTTTCCAATCTCCTGGCTTTCCATCTGCTTGAACAGTGTTTTCAAACTTGTATAGAAGCTTCTCTGTGATTTGTCAAGCCCTTGACAGCATGGGGGGGGGGGAGTGTTCAAGAGAAGAGGGCTGGAGGACAGGAATTTAACAGTCACGTTCCCAGACAGTGGCAGGCGGGAGCAGGGGAAGCAGCACGGATGCCGTGAGGCAGGGCTCCAGGGATGTTCGTTTCCCTCCTCATCCATATAGGGCATACAGTTATTCTCCAAGAGCTGACATCATGTAGAAAAGCAAGATATGTCTACACAAAAACCATAAACTCACCTACTCATATAGATTACTGAAAAATTAGATACCCAGGGACAGACTCAGTACCTTAAAAAGTCAATTGCTATCCTCTGAGGGGACACACAGCACTCCGCGAATCAGAAGACCTAGCCATGGGTCCGATTCTGCAATCTACCTCTAGCTCATTTTATTTTCATGATTTATTCTCTAACCTTACTTTCCCAATTTAGGAAATGGAGATAATTCATCAATTTCATGAGAAGAGTTTTAAAAAATTACTAATTTCTTGGCTTTACTCCCTGGGCCTTGAGAATCAGAATTTCAGAGATGGAGAAATTTATAAAATCTTCTTTGCATGATGGGACACAGTGAATCTGACCACTGGTAGTTGGGATCACTGCTGAACCACCACAGGGGGCTACTACACCACCAGCCCACCCCTCACCCCCTCACAGCTCCCGAGCCCATAACTCCTTCTTCCACGAGGAGGCAGGGACACTAGCTGAGGTTCAGAGTCAAGGAAACTTCAGACAGTGGCCTGGGGAGGAGGTTAGGCAGGAAGACACATGTGCCTCTGTCATGCCAAGGCGGACCTCAGACACATGTCCCACGAAAATACTGTGGTGGTTAGGAAAGTGCCTACTCAGAAATGGGCACTGTGGACTCTGCCCTTGCTTGGAACCCAGTCTCAATGTTGACATTTTCAAAGGGAAAAATGAGTCGCAACTCCCAATGAACAACCCACTGTTACACAGTGGGAGCTGCCAGAACATAAAAACAGGAACATTAGCTAAAGTGCTTACATCTGGTTTCTGGATTTATTCACTGAGTCATTTCTGTCTTTCTTTTAGTATAGCCAAGGAATTACAGTGGACACCTTTTAAGTAACATTTTTCTTTGAATCAATACCCACATCAGCTCACTTAAACATTACCTTCTATTATCAGAGGTTAGGAGATCGAGTGGAATTCTGTAATGAAGTGGTGTTGTATGAACCAATGGGTTCCCCTGGATCACCAGAGAGCTTTTATATAAATATGTACTGAGAGTCACAGGCTAACGGGGAACGGACACCAACTGACACCGATCCTGCCAATCAGCCCTGAGCCTGCTGCTCGGCTGGTAATGCTGCACGGCAGGCACTGATGGGCACCAACATTTCAGTCTCCTCCTTCCCAGTCAAATCTCTACATTACCCCGGTCTGAGTCAGCGTCAGCAGTATCACCACGGCATGCATACCAAGAGCTTCCCCTTATAAAAGACTTCCAACATTATCTTACCTCTTTTTTGCAAAAGATTGATATACCCATGCATGATACCAGCCCCATTTTATAAAGGGCAGCTGGACCAGCCATCGCTCGGCCTGCAGGGTGTGACAGTGGCCCACCTGTCCAAAGGTCACAAGAGCACCAGGGAGCCAGGTGGCGCTACTGAGTGGAGGCCACACTGCAGAGGCCTGAATGCTCCAGGTCTGAGCCAATTTGGTAGACAATGGGAATTTCAATCAGAGAAGAGATTATATTTGTATTATAGGAAGACTGCCAATAGCAGGATATAAGGAAGTAAGTTACCACTAAAAAGAGGTGACATGAAAAACAAATGCCAGCCTTGGGTTACAGAAGGTAAAACCCTACACTTTCTGTCTCTAGTCAGCTCTTGCTTCGAGGAAATAATCACATGTCAACTTATGGGGCAGAAGCCGTCTAGAAGTGAGGCAAAGGGATGGACGATGGCCCCCCGAAGTTCGTGAGTTTTTCAGGTGGCTCACGTCCTCTATCACCTATGCCAGTCTTTGGAGCCCTCTGCTCTATCCTTTCATTCCCTTTTAATTCGTGATACCCCAGGGAGGCTATCTTTCCCTAGTGTGCTCATCCTATGAGCCAGAAAGTAAACCCACACAAGGCCAGACAGAATCCCAGAGAAAACGTCTACATAACTCACACATTGGACAAATAGTTTCTGCGATCCTACTGTGTGCAGGCACTGTTCTCAGCAGGGGGATGCAGCAGTGAATGAAGGGAACGGCCCGCGCTGAGGTGGGGGAGCAGCATTCTGACCACATCTCCTGCCTGTGTACTAGTTCTCTGCCTGGAGTACTCCCCAATCACCCTAATCAGACTTGTGCGGTCTCCTCCGTGTCCCCCTTCCCCCTTTCCTTCTTCTCCTAACATTTACCATCATCTAACACCTACTGCTCTTGCTCTTTCCTCCTGAGTTCTTCTTCTCCTCCCATTAGAATCCAAGCTCCACAAGGGCAGGGGCTTTATCTATTTTGTTCAAGATGGTACTCTCATGCCTGCGGCAGTAACAGGCACACAGTGGGTATGGGATAAATCCTGCAAGTTCATTCACTTGATAAAAAGAAAAGGACACCCTCCCCCACTAGCCTCCCCCAAACCCGTTTCAATACATAGAGATGAAGACGCAAGCCTCTAGTGTTCCTTATCACAAGCACAGCCGTTCTGTTTTGCATCTCTTACCTTTGAAGGAAACCAAGATATTTCTCTCTAAAATACTGATGATTGTTCAAGTGAAGAAGGTTATAACACAGGGGGACACTCTGGCCCTCCCTCTGCTTGCTAAATGGCAGGACAGCGATTCACAAAGACAAAAGGTCTCCCTCCCCTCCGCCTTTCCCTGCCTAAAGACAGGCGCCTTCACTAGGCTGCTGACCAGCTCAGGACAGCAAGCTGGACAGTGGGGCAGCGGCAGACTTCACTCTTCCCATCAATTTACTTTCCCAGGTTCTCCCACCTTTTGGAACCCTGAAGATCCACTCTATCTCTAGAGGATTTATGGCTTTTTGTTAAAATATTATTTAAGGATGGCCCCTATGTTACTTTCTTGAGAGAGAAATACTTTTGAAGTATTTGATGGGTATTGCAGGTTCGTCAACTACTGTTGGCTTTTCTCTTGTTAATCTGACTTTTGTTTTCAGGAGTGTCTCAACTAAGAACTTATAAGGGAAAGAAATGAATCTGCATTTTTCTTTTCTACATCTTGGACACCAAATTTGTAAACCCCCAAATATGCAAATGGTAGGCATTTGTTCTTCCTTTACTTTGTTTATTTTAGTTCTTTGTTCTTAAAATATTCCTCTTCTCTCTCGATGTCTTTAAACACGAGCATCTCTTTCTTTTCACATTCAGGCCTTTTACTGGGATATTCCCCATAGACTCCACACCCACTTACTATTTCCAGAAAAATGTCAGAACAGTTCTATAACACATAAGACTGATGGCTAATCCGTACACTTTTCGTTTTCTATGATTTTAAAAATGAGTACAGAGGTAAACTAAAGTCCAACTGAATAAAATTTCATCCCTCATAAAATCTTCCCATACTTTCCTCCAATATTTCTTCTAAAAAGTTGGTTTCCTAATTAATAGGAAAGTTTCATTTGAAGTGATTTTCAAGAAGATACGAAAGTACAAAGCCTCTGACACAAAAGTAATTAAAGGCTATGCTTTCTAGTTCTTTAACTCCTGAGAAACACTGCCTAACAAGAAAGTTAATGGGAAAGGTTAGTAGAGCTGATCTTAAGGCCTGGTTCGCCCACCTACTAGTTACGTTGATGTTGCCTGACCTGGTCACCACAGAGAACTTTTTCTAGAATCCAATAAATGAGTATCTGGATCAGCCCTAAACTATAGTGATAGTCAAATAAAAGGCATAAAGCCGTTGGCTAAAGGTGAAGCTCTCTCAGTTACTCCTCGAAGTGTAGTAAAACATGAAGCTTTTCTCTTTACCCCTCTACTCATCCCCTTCAACCAAGTGGAATTATGAACAGTAGTTTCTTATTGATACATCTGGAGATATACCTTCGACTGTAACGTTCTCAGATTAACCAGATGAATGTCACAAGGCAAAGAAGACAGTAACGGAGAGAATTCACCCAGCAGCTTAAGGGTGGGTGAGAACTTCTTCGTCATGGGAAAGACTGGGTGGTTCATGAAAGAAGAAGTGATGTGGCTGAGGAGAGAAGGAAAACTGACGGGACGCTTTTCTTCTTCCTACAAACAGAAAATAAAAATGATTAAAAGCTCTCCATTTGCAGCTTTCATCACAGTAACTGAATGAATTATCTAGGAGGGTGTAAACAAAAAATACATGAATACTTTGATTTTATTGTATTTTATACACAGTCTTAGAAGATACACAAGAGACTATCAGACTCAGTTGTAAACAATCCGAGACAACGAACTGGCCCATTTAACTCATATGCTTAAAGTATCTCTTCCTTTAATTTTAAAAATACTGAACACATCTCCTTACAAACATTTTAGGACAAGGCATAACTTTTTATGGAAACTCTTGACCTACCATGAAACTCTAAGTAGAGGGAGTGAGCTTGTTCATGTATCTTTTACATTATTAAATGTTATCTCCTTTCTCCCTCAGATTTCATCTATCCTATTCTCATGATTTCATTTATATACTAACAGGACTACAAAGGCATGTATTGATTCAAAGCTATAATCCATAAATGTTGACAAATGAAGGGAGCTTAATGTTACCCAATGATAGGATTTAAAGGAAACAAAGCTCTCAAAATAAATCCAATTTTTAAATATAAATAACTTAGATGGTATAGCGAGATCATTTGATTATTTTCTTTAAACATGGTAAATCATTACCGACCGCTTCATTAAAAAATCAACAAAAGTTGGGGATATACACACATTAATAATACTTTAATAATAACATTAAATAATCTACCAAGGTTGGGAATATACACTTGCAAGACGATGCCAAAAATTAATTAAATCTACAACTAAGCAGGACTTTGCCCAGTAATGCCGAGGGAGTAAAAACAGACACAAGGAGGAACTGAAGAAGAGAAAATAATTTATGGAGAAAGGTCCTTTGATCACCAGCTACATTTGAAGCAAATTTAATTTTGTATCTTATTTTTTAAAATGCCTATTTCATTGATATCTTCCGATTTTGCATCCTTTCTGTAATACAGGACTCAAGTAATAGGCTTTCACACTTATCTGTTGAAAAGATAGGATTTGTAGAGATATGGAGCTTAAAATTCAGAATGTCAGATTAGCATTGCACAGAAGGGTGCTTGCAAAAAGTGACTAGCATCGTGCCAGCAGCTAACATTAGATGTCATTACGATTCAGACCATGGAGAGAGAAAAAAAAATTTTTTTAAAGGCTGCAGAGGGACATTGCAATATTGCAATATTAAGATACTGACAAAAAATATTAGGTCTGAAAGAATTATTAAAAAAAAAGTATCCATTCTATTTTTTTTAAGAAAGATTAAATAAAGTGTATAAAATAATAATTCTCCAACAATACTGAAATTTAAAGCAGCCTGTAGAATAACATGAATAAAGAGGGAACATTTTCAACAAGGTGCTTTAAATGTACTCCACGATCAAAGGACTTCATAATCTAGGTCAGGATTGCTGACAAAATCACTTTTGAGTAACAGAAGATAAAAGATTCCAACAGAAAACACCTGCCTTATCAGATTCAGGAGGCATTAAGTCCACTCTAGATCAAGAAACATTCAGAAAGGCCCTGGCTTTGCTCTGCCCTCTGGGAGGAATTCCTGGACACTTGGGGAAGAGACAGGACACTTCTCATCTACACCTTAGAGGCACTAATGTGCCTCAACACCAATCCCCCAAACCCAATCAGTCCTCCTGACCCTTCCCTAAATTAAACATACAACCCAATGACTTGGGGAACATTTAAAAACCATAGATTCTTGGGTCCTATCCCAAATCTTCAGAATCAAAATCTCCAGAGGTGTAGGCTCTGGGACTGTGAAGCTTAAAAGCCTTCCGAGTGAATCTGAGGGAGTCAGCCACGTCCCACGCTGTGAACCTGTGCTGGGACCTGCCCTGCCAGACATCCTCCCAACCTTCTGCAACAAACAGGGCACTCCTTGGAACCAAAAGATAAGCCTCACCTTTTAATTACTTTTAGATTAAAAAAAAAAAAAGACTTAGACTCAAAGGCATTTTGATGAAAGTCTAGTAAAAGGAAACAATGTCATGAATGTAAGTACTTGGAGAATTAAAAAACTGTGGTTTACTGTCCTTAGTAAGATAAGAAAGAGAAGTTTATAGAAGAGTTGTGGTTCAGTGCCCCAAGGAGCATCAGGAAAAAACAACACTGCTGGAGCGGGCTAGCCTGGGGAAGGGAAAGGCACAGTCAGGGTTCCACCACACATGCACTTTCTTACCATATCTGCAGCAACAGGGGCTCTATAAGATATTTAACTATTCAACTATCAAATTTTTAATTAACTTCCTAGAAAGAGGACCTTTTAACTGTAAGTCTTATAATAAACTCAAAAGTTTTCTACAGGAAATTTTGCGTGTTTGTTTAAGCTATAAATGAATTCCCTACCCTTGTATTAATTAATATACAACTATAAATATTGTTCAGTTCTTGTTAGTTGGAAGGCTTCAAACTGTGTAAGTCTGGCCTTCTTTCTGCAGGCTGACGTTATAGGGAGTGTCTAGCGTATTAGATCCAAGAGAGCTGTGCAAAGGTGAGATTCTCCTCATTTGTTCCCAGTCCTCATTCTATGAGTTGGAACTTCTTGCCAGGTTCCTTGGTGCCTTTAATCAACTTCACTTGAGTTATCTGATCCTTAAATATCAAAGGCTTCCACTTCACCTAAATCAAAACTTACTAAATTATGCAAGATACTGAGAGATTGTTTTTGAAGTCACCTTTGTTTATTCGATTTGACCTGACACATGGTGGGAACTTCATAAATGTTTATTGATGTAATCTATTCATTTAACAACCAAATGCAACATGAATAAATCAGAGAAAACTACCACAGAGAGGAAGAGTGGGGTAAAAGACAAAAAGGGAGAAGACAAAATTAAGAAAAATATATTGAAAAATAACATTTAGAGATAATTATCTTCTAGCCCAGAGTTAAAGACTGGTACTCTGGGGACCAAATTAGTATATGGACATGTTTTGGTTTGTCTATAGACTATGAAGTTTTTTTTTGTTTTTTTTTTAATCAGCCAATCTTTAGAAAAACAAAACAAAACATACACACACCAACACAAACCCATAAAAGTGCCCCCAAATAGTTTTCTTGGTTTTCTACCCAAGACAATGGAAACTGAGGTCAGATTGGGCAGGATTCCCATGCAGAACAAGGAGCTGGAACTGAGTTGTGGCGCCTAGTGGGACATGCGCCCTCAAGCCCACCACAGACACTCTGGCCACCTAAATTAAGCATTTGCCCTTAAATGTGGCTCACCTCCCTCATGCCATCACTTTCCTAAAATCCATAAGCATGTCAAGTTTTAATCTGATCTCTCTCAACTTCCTCTCCTGACGGGTAAATAATTGGTATCCAGAGGTCAAGTGACAAAATTTTGACCCTTGAACACTTCCAGGGCTTCTGCTGGCTCAGTGACTCTTTTGCTTAACCATCAGCAGGAAAAGGGGAGGAAGAAAGGGTCAGAGAAACAAATCTGAAGGTGGCTAACAACTGTCTTGGTCTTTTTTTCTATCACCATAGCAATATCACAGGTGGGACAATTTATAGAGAAAAGAGTAATTCAGCCTGCAGTCCTGGAGGCTGGGAAGTCCAGGGACACAGTACTGGCATCTGGTGCATTATCCCACAGCATTAAAACAAGAGAATGTGCAAGTGAGCTTTTATAACAAAGTCACTCCCATGGTAACTAATCCACTTGCACCATAAGGGCTCTGCTCTCATAACCCAATTGCCTCCCAAAGGCCCCACCTCTCAAGACTGCCACAGTGGCAACCAAGTTCCCAATGCAAGAACTTTTGGGGGCCACATTCAAACTGCAGCAATGCCAAAGAGACAATTCCTGTTTGCTGTTTCCATTAACCCCTGAGGATCATCAGCCTGGATGATGGTCAACCTTGCACAGCCACGGTCCTTCCCTGGGCATCTGCACAGCCTACGGTGCTCGCCATCCAAGTCCTTGTTCTCACTGACACTGTGCATAACAAACGTTCTGCGGACAGGACTCCCTTCCATTGTCAGCCCAGGATTATTTCCAGGAGGCCTTACTTCTGTTAGGCTCTGGGCTTCCCATGAAAACTCCTTCCTATTCAGGGATCATCTTCCTACTTCACTTTCTACCTTCATTATTTTAGACAATAGAGTCTGAGTTAAAATTAAAAACTTTCTAGAAGAATTTAGGTTACATTGTATTAGGATTTCTTAATCAAATGTATTTTTAATCAATTTTAGCAGAAATTAAAATGTATTTTCTCTTCTCTATTTCACTTTTTACTTATAAGAAGCTATTGATTTAAGTCACAAAATCTATAGTTGAGCAAAAGAAAAATTTAACCAACATAGGATTATAAAAACATTAGATGAAATTTAAATCAATTACTATCCAAGGAATTCTGAATGCAAAGAAACACATCATTTCACTGCTAAGGAGGAACTTTATAGATGTGACATGACATGAAAATTTTTATGGCCACAGTTAAAAGAAGTTTAGTAGATTAGTGTCAAGATAGAGAAAAAAATCATATAAAGCAGAGACATGTTCAGTAGGAGCAAAAGACAGCAGCTGCCAACACTCAGACGATGGTCTTCCCTACGTAGTTGTAGTCCGTGTAACTATCTTGCCAGTAATTGATTTAAACTGCGAGTCTCAAGAACTGGTATAAATCTTAACATCTAAAATGGATACTGATTCTTTTTTCTAAAAGATTCTAAATACTGGAAGAATCCTTTGTTTTAATTAGCTGTTGCCATTTTATTCAATCGACTAGTATTTTATTTTATTTTAAGATACAGTCTCATTCTGCTGCCTGGGCTACGGTCCTGTGTTATCAGCCTAGCTTAATGCAACCTCAAATTCCTAGGCTCAAGCCATCTTCCTGCCTCAGCCTTCTGAGTAGCTGGGACTATAGGTGCCCACCACAACGCCCAGCTAATTTGTCTATTTTTAGCAGAGATGGGGTGTTCCTTTGCTCAGGCTGGTCTCAAACTCCTGTACTCAAGTGATTGTTCCACCTCGGCCTCTCAGGGTGCTAGGATTACAGGCATGAGCCATCGTACCTCTGTTTTTGTTTTTAACAGAAAAAAACAGATGGTTCAGAAGTCAACAGAAAGGATCTTTGGGGCAAGGGCTAGCTATGAGGGGCAGGGAAGAAAGAATGGAAAAAAAGGGCTAAGTTTCAAGGACAAGTGGCAGGACTGGCCTAGATGAAGGAAGGCTGGTGTCTCCAATGTGCCAGGAGGTGGGGCAGATGTTTGGGATTAGGAACAGAGAGCTCTGTCTAATGGTTGTTCTCACGATAAAGTAGAAGTGAGGTCACTGGCAGAAAAGAGTAGGAACAAATAGAACAGTCAGTGTAAAAAGAAGAAAAATGGAGTAAAAAGAAAAAGGGTCAGGTCCGGGGGGCTTCTGAGGTGGGTGCTCACTACTTTATGGAAAACAATGCTGTCCCTTAAATAAGCGCATCCTCAGGTCATTCAGGTCCAGCTGGGCTTTTGGCAGACAGTTGAACACAGAGTGTTGGATTTTTACTTTGAGAAATGAAAATCAAGCATGAAAGACAGACAAGTAAATCCATTTTCAGTTGATAAATCTGAGACTGTAAGAAGTACGCTACGGTTTCAAGTAAATTCGACCACTAAATTTACTTCTTATGTCACTAAATTTTCTTCTTTAAGTTTTAGCTCATTGTTAAAATTCTTACTTCTTTCAAAATAATTTCAAGAAACCTCACCCAAACTGATTCCATGACATTAATTTTTTAATCTATATAATAAGTAATAAATAAATAAATAACCTAAATGCAAATCTTAATGGTACTTAAAAATGAAGTTCTCTTTCTGTGAGTGTGGGTTAACTCCACTATAAATAAATCTCAATATTGGAAATTATTTAGAAAAATTAAGAAATGGAAAGTCATAATTTCAAATTTGGGGTGACACAGAACAAACAGCATCAGAACACACTAGTTATTTTTTCCTACCATATTAACGGCACTTCTTCTTTCTAGTAGTATTCGAAATAGATTAGCTGTAATCTTGTTATCATGGCAACCTTGCCCAAGGCCACGATTATCATCTTGCATGAGTCTTCGATCCATGATAACTTCAATCTCACCTAACAAACAAACAAACAAGCAAAACTGACCAGGCTTATTTAATAAAGATATTCATTGAGGATCACTTAAGTAGAAGGTACCCACAATCTAGCTTTAAATTTTCCTTCTAATCAAGGAGATGGATGTATACAACCCACTAACCATGGGCTTTCTCTTGATATTGGCTCAAAGCAGCTAGTATAACCACATCAAATAGGATAACATTTCTGCTTTTCTTTATTAATGTTTAGCAACATCTGATAATAGAAAATTTTAAAATAAGACATGACAGATCAAAACTTATGAGACCTTTTCCAAAAAGCCCTGACAAATTAAATTCTTCAAAATTTTCAATGGCAGAATTTAGAATTTAAAAATGATGGTGAGATTTAACAGAAAGTGCTCCATGTATCTTTTTACTCCATGATAACATACACGGAGTGGTAAGATACACACAGATGGGTAGGATCTACAAAAGATCTGCAAATAAAACGTAGGTCACTTGCTACGTGGCAATTCTCTGAAGACACCCTAGAATATGGAGACGCCTTCCATGTGCTCCCTTCCTTCTCTGATACTGTGTTAGTGGCACCACCGTTGTCCCCTCTCTTCTGGCTTCAAAGGGGTCACGGCTGGTTCCTTCACTGCTGTGCAATAACTCCATCTTTCCTCCAGTTTTAAGTTACAAGCTGATGATTCGGTTATGAAATTAAAAAGTGAAGAAACTAAGGGGAGGGAGTCATATATACTCAAATAAGACTTTAAAATCTGAAGTTACATGTACATAAAAAATGCACATATATTCATTCACATCCATTACTATACTAAACAGTCATTCAGCACAAAAAAGAAATCGTTAACATAAAATGTGTTAATAACTACACCTCTTACATAGTCAAACCAATTCTGTTCTGTTCCTTTCCTCTCAGTTTAGATACCCTATACATAAAACTACCAGTGATGAGCAGGATTCTCACCGTCACTGCCTTCCTAATTTAGAAGTCAGGTGTCTAGGCCTGGCCCTCAAAGACAGGGCTGACAGATCCCATGCTTTATACCCACAGCTTGTCACTGTGCACCCACATGGTACATCAACCTCTTGGCAATTTTTAAAACTCTTCTCCTACCTCCAAATGGGTGCACAGAACATGTGGATTGCACCCAATGTACACTAGTGGTCTGGATTGTACCCAAAGTGTCTTTACTCAAATATAGGGTATTTGGGTGTCTCCAGCACAAGTGGAGGAGCTCTATTTCTCAGCTTGTCGTTTTCTGGAAGTGAGATAATACTTCTTGCGTCCTGATGTTGGTTCCCCTATTTAGAGCACAATTTTGAGAATTTAAGGCAGAGTTTTAAAATGGGCAGCTCAGAGTCATGTAGGACACAAAGATGTTTTATGTTGTGTCTACATAGTATCTTTAAACAAATTATGTCAGGATTTACACATTGGACAGCTTCACATAAAATCTAGACTTTGAGACTCTTCCTCAAAATTTAAAAATGCAATAAGCTGGGACCCTAATCCCATGGTTACTAACAATTTCAGTGCACTAAGCTGTGTCCTCAGTGTACGCAGGTACCAACCTGGGCCCCTAATCCCATGGTTACTAACAATTTCAGTGCACTAAGCTGTGTCCTCAGTGTACGCAGGGGGCATGTCCTCTAGCTTGCTCAAGCCTCTTCCACTTCCTAAGGATCCCTGACATAAACCCACATTATTTTAATAAGAATCCATGTCTTTATGGTACAAGTTCACATATTTTATCTGATAAAGGCTACAAGGAAAAATGGGAAGTAGCGATTTCTGTGTATGGAGTACAGAAGGCTCATATCTGCCTAATATACAAAGTCAGTTTGTGCCAGAAGTTGTACCAGGCACTGTGCCCACTTAGTATCTGCCTGGCTCCTTGGGACCTTTGTCCTTAGCAACTCTTATCAGAAGAACAATGGATAATATGGTGTGATAAACAATTAAAAACACATAAAAGGGGATCAAAGTCTCTCAATAGAGAGTTTTATAAAAACTAATCAGTGTCTCTCATCTACTTTCGCCCACTTTATCTGCATTTCTCTCGTCTGGAACCCTTCAGGCCATCCCTCCGCCATTCCCACTCCCTTTCTTCTTGCAGATGGTAGTGGGGTGAAAAGACTTTGATTCAGAGAAGGGCCTACTCCCCACTTCTGCAAACTCAGGCAACTTATCTAAACTTTCTCTGTCTGGTGTCTGAGTTCCCACATCCATTAAATCACAATGAGAACAGAGACCTCAACAGCTTATCAAGAGAAATAAATTATCTTTAAAAAAAAACAATCGTGACATGAGTTTCAGGTCTCCCAGTTCTTCACCAGAAGATAAGGAAAGTCATCATTTTATGTTGTTCTTGCAAAACCCCAAATTAACAAATAGTCTGGTCCTTGAAAGAAAAAAAGCTAAAAAGACACAGAGAAGTTTTAACTGGAGATGACAGTACACTCAACCAACAGAAAAAGTACACACTTGGAACGGACACCTTTTAGAGCCACATAGTCTTTGAACAGCACATACCGCTACTGAGACTGGAAACCCCCAGAGACTGAGCCGAGAGCAGGGTCAGACGGTGCTCAGCGTCCTGGATATAAGCCATTGTGGTCATCGGATAGACATTTGCTTGCAGAGGCAATTTTCTCATTGTCACTCTAGGTTGAATCTATAAAAGGTGATTATTTACATATGTACGTTAAAAATGTAGTGTTAGCACACATGACTCTCCTTCCAGAGAGAAAAAGACACAGCTTCCTTTTTGTTCAAGGGAGGAAATAATTAAAAAATTAAAACACTCTTTAAAACAGTATGAAGGAAAAACACAAGGATCTTAGAAGACAATTTTTAAGTGAGAAAGGCAGAACTTGTCCAGATTTTAAAAATAGGCATTTTTACTTAAATTCAGAATAGAAATGCTTAACAAAAGTCTTCTGGCTCTCCAATATTTGCATAAAACAAATTATAAAGGTATTAAGCATTCATTTCTCATCTAAATCTAACACACGGCTTTTGAAATGAATGCGAAGCATAATAGCCCTCTATCCCCTTTCAAGAAATATCTCTTATTCTTGAATCAGTTTTAATAAATACCACAGATCTCCCCACCAAATCCTCTAACATATTACTTTATAATCAAATGCATACTACGTATTTATGTTTAAAACCATTCAATGCTTATTCTTTTTGATTAGTTTCAATGCAGATAGTTCTAAATTCCAATTTCTTGTAGCTTAGTACCTGAATTAACTCTAACCTTACTTTTTGAGAGAGACTGTCGCTAACTCCAAAACCAATTTGGGTCACAGTGACTAACTTCAGGGCCCTGCTACCGGTGAATCCTTATTACAGCACATAAAAATGCCATCTCTTCATTTAAACTCACAAAAGGGTGAGGTGAAACTCAAGGAAAGGAAAGCTACAAAAGGTACACAAGATAACACAGTAGTTGATGTGTAGTAAGTGCCTGTTCACAAGAGGCATTGTTCTGAGCTATTTTACAAGTCTGCTTTTTAATCTTTCCAACAACATTGCAATGTCTCTCAATTTTACTGGTTGTACTAGGCTGAATAATGCACCTCCCCCCACCCCCACAATTCATGTCCACCCCCAACCTGTGAATGTGATCTTATTTTGAAATAGAGTCTCTGGAGACAAAGACAAGGTCATACTGCCTTTGGTTTGGCCTTAACTGAGTGACTGGCGTCTTTGTAAGAAGAGGGAAATTTGGACAGAGACAGAGGCACAGGGACAACACTCTGTGACAAGAGAGAGAGAGAATTCTTCATTTCTCCTTTCCAATCCTGATCTTCCCATTCCAACTAATTGGTATACGTAAACTTATAAAAAAGACATTTAAAACTGCCACAAATTGTGTTCTTACTCCTCCCCTACTTCCCACCTGTGGAGCTACATTTCTAGCTTTGTTTAAGTATTACTATTTCCAAAGTTTAAAAGTGACCCATTTTAAAAGAAATGTTTAGATTATAGACTTGAAAATAATATTTTCCTGTTTATTCAAACGTTTGAACCTCAAAAATAAAATACACATTTTTGGTTACTCATTTTTGTTAAGTTTTCTCATTCATTTGTACACCCACACACACAAATAATGAGATTTTAAGAAAACATTTTCTTTTGTATACAAGGAAAATGAATCACCATAAAGTCAAGGTTTCATTTGAAAACCACATGACCATAGTAGAATTAACATGTCAATTCAGAATGTATGCAGTAATTCTCATGCTTTAGAAAGGCTTAAATTTAACTTTTGGAGGATATTATAGAAAATTATTGCAATCTTTTTCACTCATCCCAGTTGAAAATCAAAGTAAAAGCATTTATTGTGAAATTATTTCTATTCATAGCCATAGGCAGAAAATTTTAAAACCATTCATGTTTCAAAGATACGTTCATATTTTTCACAGTATTATTTCAAAGACATGCTGTCACACACATATGCACAGAATACAGAGGTCTAGTTAACAAAGGAGCTCTGTTACACTGAAGAAATGATACTCTGAAAAAATTGTATGAATCGATTTTCTTACTACTATTTAAGACTATTTCATGAAAATGTTGATTAAATACACATCCACCCACATTTCTAATTAGATATATTTGTTTATGTTGTACATATATGTGTGTGTATATAAGTGTACGCATATACACACGTCAATAAAGAGAGGGGAAGAGTTTTCCTGAAATTTAAAAGAGCCTATTATTAGATCATACATTTTAAAATATATAAGGGTTAACCCAAATATGTATAGGCTAATTCTTGATGAGGAAAACAAAACACATAATCTATCAATCCTTAATTACCTTAATTACATTTCCTTTCTGGTGGATACATACACATATATTTTAGCATCAAGGTATTTTAATATGCATACTGGTCACCAAATCTCTCTTTAAATAAGTAAATCCTTACAAATAGATGTTCTAAAAAATGGTCTCTCGAATATTTGTTCTAACTTTGGATATCTGTTTGAATATGGAGCCTGAAACTATGTGTCAAAATTCAGTTTTATATTTTTTTCGTACTAACTGTCCCATTATCATATGTAAAAATAACACACTAATGCAACTATTACTTAGACATTTTAAAGGAAAATTACCTGGTATCCATTTAGATCAGTATAAAATCTATTTTGACTTTTTATATCAGAAGAAATTCTCATTGCAATTTCACGATTATATACTTTTCGGATGTCCACAATATTGGAAATTTCCACAGACTGTCCTTCTATTCCTAAATTAAAAAAAAAAATACACAATAAAAAAATTAATTGCCCCACATTTCATAACTGCACTGTATAGAACTTCAAAGATTATATACATTTTCCTGTTTTTTACTTCCTGTCTTACCATCGCTCATATACTAAATGGTATCACAATTTAATTTTCTTTATACTATCCATCAGAGGATAGATAATATATATTCAGGGGCACAAACAGTTCAACAAAAGGATGAAAAGTTTGCTATGAGACAAATGCAGATGACATGTAACACGTAAACGATTCTCCAATGAGGTCTAGAGGGAAAAGAGAACATAAAATGAGAACAGACCAGACCCACCACAGGCCAGTCCACCTGTCCCTGTGTCACAGAGCTGTTCCAGCCTACTTCTCCACCATTCTCCCCTTACACACTAGAAACTGTTAGCCAATAAAATTGACATTCTGTTGGTTCAAGAGACAGTATAATATTGCCCACATCTATTTCTAAGAAAAGAGACAGGAGATCTAATGAGATGATTTATGGCTGAAAGTGATATTAACATATTAGTATTTGTGGATTACATTAATCTGGAGAGCTCCCCAGAAGTTAAATCAATTTTAGTTAAATTTGGTATCTCCTAGGACTCTGTTATAAAGCGATTCATTTTGCCCTCTCTGTTTAAAGCAGAGGACAGCTATGAGAAGTCCCTAATACATCAAAACTTTTTTTTTTGATAAGCCTAAACTGTTTATTACAGTAGAACCCGTGTAGACTGACCACTCAAGGGTGGTTTGTTAACTAGTCAGCACATGGAAGTGGAACATCAGGAACTAAGTCTATTGTACTGATCTGTAATGTGGTGCACGTCTGGGCTATTAAAGTGGAGGTGGTCAGTGTAGGGAGGTGGTCAGTTATGGATGTTCTGTATTTCCCATTTGTCACTCTTACCCTAAATGTATCTGCAGGTCCTCAGTGAGGCCTTGAATCCATTTCAGAGATGGAGAGAGGAGTTCGGAAATCCAGCAATCAATACAGATGGAGTACGTGTGAAAGTTATTACAGGATCGTCAAAGTGGCCATAAGAAGAAAGACTGGCCCTACCCTACTTCATAAAGATGGTGCTTTCTGAGTTTCCTAGAGCCCTGGTAACTTACCTCTAGTTTTATTTTGCTTACCATCCTCTACCCACAGCTCACACACGATCTGTCACTCTGGGCTGATAATAAACGTACTCTTTACACGAAAAGGAATGTGTACAAAAAGGGCCAGAAGCGAATGAGGAAGACCTTTCTCCCAGGAGCCCAGAAGACTCCCCAGAGCTTATAGAAGGTGACAGCAAACAGATGAGAAGTTTGAATCTGTGGGGCTTGTGGAAAAGAATGGGAATGCAGTTAGTGTAGGCCCTATGGGTTTATATGAAAAGAACACTGGAAACTGGAAAATGGAGATAATGACATAGTGATGAATAACACTAAATGAGCAGAAGCCGCTAGTAATGAGACTTTCAGAATGCTCCCAGAACTACTTTCGGGCACACACTGCTCTTTCAACTCAACAAACTTAACTGGAGTTAGTGTTAGTTGCTATGTTCTTAAAACTAGTCTGAGTATAATCTCCTTGGGTGGCAAATGGAAGGATGTCTTTTTTTAAATAGACATAGTCTGAACCAATAACATCTCCCAGTTAAATATACAGTCATTTCCTTCTAAGAGTTACCAGAAGGACCTGCAAAGATAGATGATCCAAATATTTCTCCCACTATTGGGAAGTTAAAAAAAAATCACATAAACTGATGATAAACAATGGTATCTTTTTTGAGCTAGAAAATATACTAGTCTAAATGCAGACTTCCCTTTCAGTATGCTTACATTAACAATATTTTTATTAAACCAAAATGAAACACACACAGAATTTTAATGATAATAGACAAGCATCTACAAATGAACCAAAGACATCTGGAATGTAAAATGTGGTGACAAGGAGGACGGTACTCATGTAGCACTAGGGTGCATCACAGATGACAAGAAGCAAATTCTCATTACCAAAAGCACCTGTAGGGTTTTCAGTACAAGTACCGTTTTATGTTCTCCTCTCTCTAGATTAGATATTCTCTCAGGGGTCAACAGAACACATGAAATGAAATAAACTCTTAACAAAAGAACACATCATTAACTTCAATTCATGTATCTCCAGAAAACATTTACAAAGAACATGCTTCAAGGAAAAATTAATAATTTTACATTACCTCTAGCGATAATAAATTATAAATGATCTTTCTCAAGCTCAGTATTATACTCAGATCCTATTGTAGCAACAAATACTTAAAGCTCTTTAAAAGCCTCTATGTCCATTCATAATTCATTAAGATGTTAATTTCAATTCTGTGCCAGAACAGCTTTTAAAATAAGATCAAAATTAATATGCTTATTATGAACAAGCCCCCCAAACACCATAATGGTCATAAAAGCAGGGAGGTATCTGAGCTCTCAAAGATAATTTTTTTAAGAACAACATACTTGTGAGAGAGCAATCGAGGACTGCCAACTGTTCCTATCCTGTGTCAAGAATTTCCAGCTCTGTGCCCTTCCAAGGAAGCTCATGAGATAGAAGAGAGAACTTCGTGGGAAGCAGGGAAATAAACCAATGGTACCAAGCAGTCCATGAGATCTGACAATTAAGTTCACAAACTCATCCTAGGAAAAGCACAACAGACCTCAAAGCTGAATATCACGTCGCCTTCAAAGGACTCCCCTTGGGAAGCTATGCACAAATGCTGGTGTCTAGTCCATCCTTCAAAGCACTTTTGCCGTCTTTTTCTGAACACCACTCAACAGGACACCACCACATGTCGACATGAACACAGCTGTGAGACCCGCATAAACCAAGGTTATGAAACCTTACCGAGACGTTTGTACGGTGCTGCCAACATAAGCATGAAGTGGCAAGTTTGCAAACTTAATTGTCAGACCTCATAGAATGACAGCTCTGATGGCTAATTCAAAATTGCTTTGACAGGTGGACTAAGTACTTGGGTCAGTGTATAGCTTCCCAAGCAGAATACTTTGAAGGTGATTGCAATGATATTCAGCAACAAGGTATGTAGCATTTTCCTCGGATGAGTTACTGTCAGACCTTAGCCTGCAATATGTGGCAGCAGAAGTGTTCCTTTTTACCAAAGGTGTCCTGCCTGAGCAGGCATGGCCAGGGCTTTCTAAGCTTCTCTGATTTTTGATTCAATACAAGTGTTGTCCATAGGGAGAGGGCAGGGAGTGGGGTGATGCCATTCCCAGGTTTCAATAGAGAGAAATAAGTGCCCTCTTGATGCTAACACTTGGCCCCCTGGAGAGGAAAGAATGAAGGTTGTTTATCCTTTTTAACACAGGAGGTACAAGGTAGAATAGAGCTAGTCTGCAGGAGAGAACTGGTAGTAAAGAGGCCAAAAGAAGAGTCTTCTTGAAGGTCTCACTACACTGCTTCTCATAAACACATAGACTGTCTTACACGCCACCTTTGCATTACACTTTTTTTTTTTTTTTTTTTTTTTGAGACAGAGTCCCACTCTGCTGCCCAGGCATTAGCCTGGCTCACAGCAACCTTGAACTTCTGGGTTCAACCGATCCTCCTGCCTTAGCCTCCAGAGTAGCTGGGAGTACACCCTCTATAATGCCCAGGTAATTTTTCTGTTTTTAGTAGAGACAGGCTCTTGCTCTTGCTCAGACTCGTCTTGAACGCCTGAGCTTCATCCCACGTGAGCCTCCTAGAGTGCTGGGTTACAGGTGTGAGCCACTGCCTGGCCGCATTACATTACTTAACAACATTTTGGGCAGGTGGTAAGAGCTGGATTACTGTTAAAAGAAATAGTTAAGACGTGAAAGCCTTCATCAAGCAGAAGTTAGCTGACCAGAGAGGAAAGCAAACTGGGCTATGGATACAGTTTAAGTAGCCGGGAAGATGACAGAGTAAGGACTACTGTGGGCAAACACGTGCATGGCAGAATGCAGATTCCTCAGGGGCAGGGACCATGTCTCACTTGCCTTCCTGCACCCAGCAGATACTACAAATGTCTGCTGAGGGAAGGGCAGCAGCCATCTGGCAGTGACAGTACCCGACAGTTACTGATGCTCACTCGGTATCACAGTTTGCCACCTGCTTTACATACATAACAACACATTTCATCCGACCTTAAGCCTGAGAGGAAATCACTTGCCCAAGGTCATAAAACTGGAACATCCTCTCAAGCAGCAGACCGACTTTTAGAGAAAGTGGAAGTTACTTTGGAACCAAGGATTGGGTGAAGCCTTGTAGTAACTCTAAGTAGAGAGAAGACCTCCAGACTTTTTCTTTTTTTTTTAAAGAAGAAACGGCACTGAACTGATATTTCAAGTGTTGTAAGAACTATGAAACTGAGTGAAAAAACAGGCTTGCCAGGCCCCAGAATTTCTTGGAAACAACTCAAAACTCTCTTTTAAGATGGCACCCTCACTTTATAAATGTGAAGGACACACACTCTCACAGCTCCCTCTCACTGAACCTGCTGAGGAGGGCACAGGCATGAGCCCCGGGAGTCTGCAGCAGCCATTCTGCTGAGGGCAAAGGGCACCAAGGGGAAACATGCTACGCGTCCATCACCAGGAAAATGCACACATACAGTCGGTGCACACGTGCTGTGGAGCGCTGTGTGGCAAAGGGGAATGAGGCGGCCATCTGTCTCGGCAGAGAAAGATCTGATGACCACACTAAACGGAGCATCTGTAGAGCATCAGAGACTCTTTGCCCATCCTACGTAACAAACTCAGTTTTACACATTTCTACAGGTGTATGGTACGAACATGTGTGGGCATGTGCCTGTTTCTGATTTCTCTCTCCTCAGGAGTGGACAGGGACAAACACAGATGTCAGAGGGGCTTTATCTTTTGTCTGTATGGTGTGAAATTTCTGTCCAAAGAGTATACGGATATATTACCTGTATAGGTATTTATAAAAATAATTTTAAGCATCTCTGAAGGAAGAATATTTTCTAAGATAGAAGC